AAAGGCAATGTCAACAAAAAGGACACTTATACTTAACATCAGGAAGAGATAGTTGAAATTTCTAGGGTGCACAATAAGGAAAGCGGCTTGGAAAAATTGATACTTACAGGGCAGATTGAAAGCAAGAGGGAGAGAGGAAAACAATGCATAAGCTATCTGGTGAGCTTGAACAAATGGATGGCAAAGCAGGATTTATGAGTGATAGCCAAAAGATAAAATTTATTAAGAGCTATAGAGGACAGGAAGTTGTGGAGAGCCATGATGGCCAATATCCTAAAGGTACACAGCAGATAGAAGAAGGTTTTAAAATGAAATTTTTTTGCAATGTATCAGATCTTTTCTGTACTCATTGTATGTGTGAGTGTGTACACACTAATCTATCTATCTATCTATCTATCTATCTCTCTCTCTCTCTCTCTCTCTCTATATATATATATATATATATATATATATATATATATATATATAGTATAGAGATGTATCTGTGTGTGTGTCTGTCTGTCTGTGTGACTTTTTGCTTGGGTTAGCTGGCTGTATTCAGTTTGATTCAATATGGGTGGTTCCAGGAATATGTTATTGATAGCTGCTGTTGGGGATTGTGACAGCTTGTGGAGGTCTAGTGTGATCAGCTTGATAACAGTTACAGCAATGGTGGTGATAGCAGTTGTAGTAGTAATGGTGTAAGTAAATAGAGGAAGTAGAAATAGAGGAAAATATAGGGAAGAAATATGATAATTAGAGAATAGGAGAGAATAGGTAATAAAAAGAAGAAGCTGAAGGATAAATATAGAATAGAGAAAAGAGTATGAAATTAAAGAGGAAAAAAGGCATTAGAAGAGTGAAAGACTGGACAAGAGAGAAAACAAGGAAAAACAGGAAAAGAAAAGGAGAAGATAATAGATAGAAAGGAAAGAAGTGGAGATTATAATAAAAGATAAGAAACTGACAACAAGTAGAATCTGAAGAAAAAAATGGTTAATGAAGAAGGAAAAAGAAGAAAAAAAGAGAAAAGAATTGAACAAAAAAGTAAATAAGAAAAATGGCCAATGAAACAGAAAGAAATGAAGGAGGAGGGTCATATGAAAAATTAGAATGAGAAAAATACAAAATGAAAAAGAAAGAAAAATTGTAGTTAGGGAGGAAACATAGCAAAAAGGAAAATAATAAAAGAAAGAGGAGAAAAAAGAGCAGTGAAGAAAGAAGGTAGGAAAGAATAGAAAAATTGATTGAAGGGAAGGAAAGCTGTAAAGAATGATTTTTATTCTTCATTCAAAGAGTTCATTCAATTTTTGTCATGAGTTATTCACATTGGCTTCCTACTGTCAATAAACATTGTTCTGCTAATTCTGTTTATATATATATATATATATATATATAGAGAGAGAGAGAGAGTGAGAGAGAGAGAGAGAGAGATATTGGTATGATAAAAACATACATATATGCACATATACTTGCACGTAAATATATATTTTTTCTCAGGTGTTATAAAAACAGTGCTCAAGGTTATATAACAAAGCAATTAAGTATATATTACTATATATTATATACATATGTAGTATTTTTTCTTTCTAAGCGTTTCACCCCAAGCAAGGCGGGAAGCCACTAGGACGCAAGGGGTTACAGAAGATTTGGAGCAAGATCAGATAGGAGTGATAGAGGAAAGGATGAGGAGAAGGATAGTGGATAGATCAAGGCAACTCGAGATGTCGAGTGACATTACATTTATGTATATATAGTATATATATATATATATATATATATATATATATATATATATATATATATATATATATATATTGTATTATATATGCAAGTTCTATTAAAAAGTTTTTTATATAATTTCTCATATGTTCATATAATTTTTTTCTTTTCAGGACATAAATTATATAAAAATTGTTGGAATGTTTTCCCAGCACTTTCAGCTATACTTTTAGCCATTATCAAGGATGAATTTTATCTTAATTTTAACTTAATATATGGATTGTTTTATACTTGTATCTAAAGTTATAGGAATGTTTTATTTTCCAAACACATTCAGCATGTTGTGGCCATGTTCATAGTTGATATTATTAAGTCTTGGCTTTTTCTTTTTTATCATTAATGCTTCCATTATTTTTAGCCTTTTTGTAGATGTGGATGATGGTATTATATTTGTATTATCAACGAGTATGTTACAGTGTATTTAAATGAGACCTAACTGAGCTATGGTCAGAGAGATGTAATGTGAGTCTTCTTGTTAAACATGTTGTAGCATATCCTATCTAATTATTTACACATTCGAACTGGCCATGAACACAGCTCCTTAAGGGACATGTAAATCTGTAAATAATATTGGTTCACTGTAATTTAGATCTTGCAGGTGAATTAATATTTTTGATGATGAGGTTGGTGGTTTTAAATTCTTTATAATAAATAATTAATTTAATTTTCTTGTTTTTGTCGACTGGAGTAGTGTATTTCTTTATAATGTTTCTAAGTGATGATTTGTCTTGCTTATATCTACAAAAATCAAATTTTATTAACTATAAACAAGACAAATCTTCATTTATAAACATCATAAAGAAATATATTAGGGTGCTGTGTACCTGGCCAATCCAAATGTGTAAATAATTATATTGGATATGCTACAACATGTTTAATAAGAAGACTTGCATTACATCTCTCTGACCATAGTTCAATTAGGTCTCATTTAAATATGCATGAAGATCTACCAAACTCTATCCTTAACATACTCGTTGATTATACAAATATAATAGCATCATTCACATGTATAAAAAGTCTAAAAATAATGGAAGCATTATTAATAAAAAAGAAAAAGCCAACACTTAATAATATCATCTATGAACATGGCCACTATGTGCTGACTTAAATATAATAATAATGATAATAAAACAATTCTAAAAAAACAATCCTATAACTCTAGATACATGCATAAAACAGTCCATATATTCACTTAAAAGTAAAATAAAATTCATCCTTGATAAAAGCATAGCCAAAAGTGCTTGGAAAACATTTGGACAATTTTTATATAATTTATATCCTGAAAAGAAAAAAGAAATTATACAAACACATGAGAAATTATATAAAAAAACTCAACCATTGCACTTTGTCAGTAATTTTTAATGAAACTTGAATAAAAGAAGGATTTCTGCCTGAATGCATAATTTTTAAATTAGTATTATATATATATATATATATATATATATATATATATATATATATATATATATATATATATGTATACTTAATTAGTATATCTTCATTCAAGCATGTTTGGCTGAATAATCTAGACATATTATGTCTATTTATTTTTATTTTAATCCTCTCAAGTTCACGTATCAATTTCTTAGTGTTTGTACAAAACTAAGGGAGAAAAACACTATAATTATCCATATGGTTTTTATTTTCCCAAGTACTTTCAATCTCATCCAAGATCATCTTCAGGGGGTGAATTGCTATGACAAAAAATTAATGTAAGTTATGAATATGTGAGCATGAATGCTGTACAATTCAAAAAATTTACCACTATATGAAGGAGGTATCCTAATTTATATAAATTCTCATTAAAAATTGTAATTCCATGTTTTAAAATATTGTCTTAATTGTAGTATTTATCATTTATAAATTAGATATTTTAAAATCTTTGTGTTATAATCATTTTAGAATTTTGTTGCTATACTCATAATTGATTTTATTTATTTTTGGCAGTAATGTTTTTATATAAATGGCTTCCAGAATTTAAAGTTTTTTATTTTCATAGTGGAGTATAGTTGTATTGTGGTTTAATATTTCTCTAAATCGTGAATGTGGACAGGGATGTTCCTTTAATTGCTGGGAGACTGAACTCTAATCATTCATATGAAATGTAAGTCTTCTTGTCCCGACACTAAGAAATTGATACATGAACTTGAGAGGATTAAAATTAAAATAAATAGACATAATATGTCTAGATTATTTAACCAAACATACATACACATGCGCACACACACACACATATACACACACACACACACACACATATATGTATAAACTTTAAAAATTAGGAGGTCAAATACAATATGCGACCTTGACCTCCTAATTTTTAAAGTTTAAACCTCTACGTGTTATTTTTACCTTTATTTTTTTCACACGTGTATTGAGAAATTTTTATACTACTCTTTCATGGTCTGATTCAACTCTGCCCATTAACTGTTTTATTTTATTTTATATATATATATATATATATATATATATGAAACAACTGTACTTTCTTGCTTTCTTCTCTTCTCTATCTCCTTTTTCCTCTCTGTTTCTTACTTGGCTTCTGTCTACCTCTTCCACATCTATTTCCTTCTTGGTTTCCCTCTCCTGCTTATTTTTGTTCTCTCTCTTCCTGACTTTTTCTATCAACCTCTTAGTCAGTCTCTCTCTTGCCCTCTTTCTCTCTCTTATCTCTTTCTTTCTATCACTCACCTAGCCTCTCTACTTTAATCTTATTCTCGCTATCTCCATCATGCATTTTTCTTAACTTTTACTGACATTTATTTTTCTCTTTATTGCTCCATTACTTTTGTTTCTGTTCTTTTCTTTCCTCTCCACTTTTGTTCTTCTGTTTCTTTTCCTTGTTTTTTTCTTTCTTTTTTTCAATGTCTTTCTCAGCTTTTAACATTTCCTTCTTTCTAAAGTCTTTTTTATTCCCACATTTCTTCATTTATCATTCTTCTTCCAGTTACTCATTTTTTCAATTCACTTTTGAATGCTTCCTTTAATTTTTTCAATTTCTTTTCACCTTTTCATTTCCCTTTCTTCACCATCTCCCCTACTAAGCCTTTCTTTTTAAATTTCTTTGCCTTTTCAGTTAGTCACACTTTCTTTAAAGCTTTCTTTCTGTTGCTTTTATTTTCTTTCTTTCTTTCTTTCTTTCTTTCTTTCTTTCATTTACTATTATTTTTTTTCATTTCTTTCTTTCAATTGTTATAATTTTCTTTTCTTTCTTTTTCCATTCACTCTTTTTCCATTAAATGGCTTTAATTTTCTGTTTTATTTCTTTCTATTACTTTTATTTTTCTCTCTCAATTGTTAATCATTTTCTCCCTTTCTTTCTTTCTTTCTTTCTTCATCCTTTCAATTGTTATAATTTTCTTTCTTTCTTTCTTTCTTTCTTTCTTCATCCTTTCAATTGTTATAATTTTCTTTCTTTCTTTCTTCATCCTTTCAATTGTTTAATTTTCTTTCTTTCTTTTTTCTTTCTTTGTTTTTATTGCTTCTATTTGCTTTCTTTATTTCAATTGTTATTATTTTCTTCTTTTCTTGCTTTTATTTTCTTTATTTGAATTGTTATTGTTCTTTTCTTTCTTTCTTTCTTTATCTTTCTTTCTTCTTTTCTTTCTTTCAATTGTTATAATTATCTTTTTTCTTTCACACTTTTTCTTTTCAATTGCTTTAATTTTCTGTTTTCTTTCTTTCATTATCTCTCTCTCTCTCTCTTTCTTTCTTTCTAGTGTTTTTATTTTCTTGTTATTATTCTATTTTCTTTCAAATTTTATAATTTTCTTTCTTTCTCTTTTCAGTTGTCACCATTTTCTTTTCTTCTTTTTTTTACTCTTTTTCCTTCCAGTTGCTTTCATTTTCTGTTTTCTTTCCGTTTTTCTTTCATTCTTCTTTCAATTCTTATACTTCTCTTTCTCTCTCTTTTTTCTATTCAATTGCTATAATTTCCTTTCCTTCTTTCTTTTTTCTTTCTTTCTGTTTCATTCAGGATTTCTTTCTTGCTGATGGCCTTGCAGAAGTTGATTAATTTCAAGTAGGAGAAAAAGAGAAGTGAGTGAATTATTTTTTAGGCTGTTTTCCTTCCTGACTGTAATCTAATAGAGTTGAGTGCTCAAGCAAAACACAACATTGAAAATATCCATCTTGCCACAGGAACAACATACGCCTTTATTTAGCAGGTTATATACAAATCACTGAGAGAATTTGTCTGAGAGAGTCACTCTGTCTATGTGCGTATTTGTGTGTTTGTTTGTGCATGTGTATCTGTGTGTGTATCTGTGTGTGTGTGTCTGCCCATATGTCAACATTTAAGTAGATTTTTGTTAATATTCATCAATGAGTTGGTGCAATCATAGAAAATAAAAGAATAAATTGAAGAGTGTATATGCAAAAATACATACTCATTTTTATAAACTGTACCCAATCCAATAGAGGAGTAGGTGTATCAAAAACTAGAAATAAGGCTAAGATAAATATATTTATACCATACTAGTTGATTTACCCAGCACTTTCCAAGATATACATATATATATAATTGTTTGCAAGATGAAAAAAGCAATTCCGTTGATCAACTTATGGACTAAATCCTGTAAAATAAAAAAAATTCTATATTCCTTCAGAAATTCAAATACTTATTTGAAAAAATATTATATTAGGTCCTGCAGAAAATATAGAATCTGGCCAAATCAGTGATACTTTCAAAAAATATAGATGTATGATAATTCTCTTTAATTCTGAAATATGCAAAAAAAATGATTTGGGACATAATTTCCTCAAACTATCTATCACATATACCACACACACACACACACACACACACACACACACACACACGTGTGTGGGTATGCCAGATTTCACAAGTACAGACAGAAGGAGATGGAGAGATATAAACAGAAATGAAGGATTTGTGATAGATAAATAGACTTGGGTAATTTGAGATTTTTGGATAGATAGAGAGAAATGAATTGAGATAGATAGATATCCATATAAAATTAACAGAGAAATATTAGTATAAATACAAGCACACCCACACACGCACGCACACACACACACACACACACACACATATATATATGAAAAAATTCAGATATTACTAAAAATATATCTGTAAAACGACAGCATGAATAAAGACAAAAGGAAACCTTTTCTTAGCCAACACGTTTAATGCTCTGATGGACTTTATCAAAGGAAATTATTATTTATAATTTACTGAACTAAACAAATAAAATAATGAGTAAAATGTTAACAAATGGCACTATACAATAGTTACCAATAAGTGTATTCAGATCAAGAATTATTTCTACTCAATAGCCTCTAGAATAATCTGAATATATATATATATATATATATATATATATATATATATATATATATATATATATATATATATATACACCACCTACCCAATAACCCTCAGGATAATATGCTAGACATTGCAACTCATAATGCACTATTGACCAGTGTATATAAATAGTCAAGGCGACACACAATGCACATGGCCTGAATTTTGTGTCTGATCATGAAACAGACTGTTGCTGCTCAGTGTATGTTTATTTATTATATATATATATATATATATATATATATATATATATATATGTGCATGTGTTTATGTGTGTGTGTGGGTGTGTGTGTGTCTATGTGTGTGGGTGGATATAATAAGTCAATGTAGAAAGATGTTAAAATCAGTTTTAACATCTGTCTCCTTATCTTATATTTGGTCAAAAGGCCTAATAATATAAAATAAATATT